AGTTACAGCACGTAACACTATGCCACACCACAACACACAGCACGGTAACCACTAATGCCACACCACCACAGCACAGCAGTAACACTATTGCCCACACCACACACTGCACGCACCGTAACAGCTGCCGCACAGCACACACAGAACAGTCACGTAACACTATGCCATCACCACACACAGCACAGCACGTAACACTGCCACACCACACACAGTACAGCCACGTAACACTATGCCACACCACAACAGCCACAGCACGTAACCACTATTCACACCACACACTCACAGACGTAACACTGCCACACCACACACAGCCACTGCACGTTAACAGCTTATGGCCATCACCACACAACAGCACAGCACGTAACATATGCCACACCACACACGCACAGCACGTAACACCTATGCCCACACCACACACAGCGCAACACGTAACACTGTGCCACACCACACACAGCACAGCACGTAACACTATGCCACACCACACACTGCGCTGCACCACAACACACGTCATTGTTACACAGTCACCGTCACCACGAATGTCCCTGCCATTACTGTCACCATCACTGTAACTACTGTCACCGTCATTGCAATGTCACTGCCATTACTGTCACCCTCACTGTCACTACATCACTGTCATCACCAATGTCACTGCCATTACTGTCACCCTCACTGTCACTACATCACTGTCATCACCAATGTCACTGCCATTACTGTCACCATCACTGTAACTACTGTCACCGGTCCATCAACCAATGTCACTGCCATTACTGTCTCCTCACTGTCACTACTGGTCACCGTCATCACCAATGTCACTGCCATTACTGTCATCCTCACTGGCTTCTGTCACTACGTCACTGTCATCACCAATGTCACTGCCATTACTGTCACCCTCACTGTCACTACGTCACTGTCATCACCAATGTCACTGCCATTACTGTCACCCTCATTGTCATTTACTACGTCACTGTCACACAGCCACTGTCACTGTCACTACTGTCACCATCACTGTCACCACCAAACGTCACCATCGTCGCCGTTGTCGCGCGATCACCAACCTGTGACTTGCTGCCGGAGATTCCCATCTCGACGACCTCCAGCACCGTGTTGAGACACTCCTTGTCTGCGAGCAGCTCGTGGTGGTCGACGAGCCACGTCGCGACGCACTGGTACGCGGCGACGATTGTCGAGTGCAGGTCCTTCGAGTGCGCGGGCGGCGGCCGCGAGCACTGGTAGACGATGTAGTCGCAGATCCAGCACACCGCGCGCTTACACTCCAGCAGGTCTGCAGCAGAGGAGGAGGATGCAATTAGCAGCTTCACTGAGCTGAAGAATCTCACCGAGATCGAATGAAATAGAATCGGCGGCGAATGCAGCTGGGAGATTCGGAATCAATGTGAGGTATATGTGCGCTCAGTGGCTTCACGGAAAACGCGAGGAAACAACAAAGGGAGAACGAAAGCGAAGCGGCGGAGAATGCCAGGAAGATTTGGGGTCAAAGCGAGGTTGAAGTGATCGAAATGACCATCGATTTACCACCGTGATTATTTGGGGTGGGGACGGGGGCGGAGGTTGGGTATTTGACGAATTTCACGAGCCGACGTGTTTTGAAATTGATGCCGAGTCGAAATAATGGAGTAAAGGTAATAGCTTTTTTACATTTTAATGTGTAATTTACATTATTAACACTATTAAAACTACAGTGCCACAATTAAATTTAGTTTTGACATTTTCAGTGTTGACACGAGAGGTACTGCATAGTCAGCCGACTTCAGAAAACCAAACAGACTTAAAACAGCCACTTGCGGAAACAATATGCTAAACATTGTGAGCGCTTGAAAGGCTCGAGCAACTCCGAAAACTTGAAGCGAAAGGGGTCTACACATTAGACGGCAGGCTATCTATCAATCGGGGGGTTGTTGGGCTTTCGTATTATCAACTTATATCAGAGCGGAAAATTAATAAGGAATGGATTGTTTTATATTAATATCCATATTATCCAATATAACATGAAATCATTGCAGGCTATATCTATCTGCGGGATGTCGCAGCCGTTGCCGCCGGCGACCACGCACCTTGCTGTTTTTCAGCTTCATCTTGATCTTGGCAAGGCCAGACAGCAGTTCGAGAGAGTTTACAGACACAAACTAAACAGTTACAGACTAAACAGACTTTATACATATATATTCTATACATATGTATATTCTATACTTTATACATTATATCAAGAGCCCATTAACCCTTTATGGCTCTTAATAGGCTCTTGATTATATATTTTATCATATATTCTGTACATATTAAACACCAGGTCATCTACCTACCTTGCTGTTTCAGCTTCATCTTGGCTAGGCCGGACAGCAGTTCGAGCGCGGCGAGGGAAACGTTGAGATCCGTCTTCCACGTCGAGATCAGCCGATGACAGACGAGGTAGATCGCTCGAATGAACTGCGCCTGGGCAGAGTCTGTCGATGTGGTAGAGCGGCCACGTTAAAGTGATTATGTCACCGTAAATAGTAAAAGTAAAAAAAACATTTCCACTTTTTCACGAAATGTAATTAAGTAATTCTGTTCACTTTTTATGGTTAAATTGCTGCATTATACTTCCTATTTTACTATATTGTTCGATGTGACCTATACATAGCCCATAGTAAGCAAAAGCAATTAATGTCAGGATCATAATATCAAGTGATTAATCGTCCAGGTTTTGGGGATTTTTAACTAGTTGAGAAACAATCTTATGAGGTAAGAATTTGATAATACATTTAGTCCCGTTAGTACTTACTTTTAATGAAAAAAAATGGCAACAAAATTTTTACTAATTACACCATAGAAAATTCGTGCCGTAGTCAATCGTGACGCAGTCAAACGTGCTGGGTGTTAGGTGATATGGACAAATAGACAACATGGCTAAACTCACGTAACCTCACAGCGAAATACTCACATAATAACGTAAAGTTTATCATCAACGCCGTAGCGACTTACTTTCAAAGTCATTTTTATTGCTACTTAATCAATAATATTTCTTCAGTAAATCTGAACTTCACTCTTGAAAAACCAGTAGTAGGCCTACTACAACAGCAGCATTTAAATTCCAGTGATCCAGATATCCCAGAGCAAATCATAATTAGTCCTTCCCTATAGCAGAACATGCGTACTGTTAAATAACTCGTTATGTATATAACATGCTGGCTGTTATATAACATGCTAGCATAGCTCCCAGATTAAAATTGCTTTGGTAGCGAACACATTTCGTGGTTATATAATTATACCATATTTTTATTGAAACGTTCCAAGTGCAATTAGTGCTCTGCTGTACCTTCGCGGAGAACATCGCCTCCACGGGCACTTGGTACAGAGTTAGTAAAAACATACAATAATATGAAATCGGCACATTCAGAAAAACTACCCCTTTATTAGCTCTAGTAATGCTGAGAGGGTCTATGTCCCCCAGGGTACTGCCGGAACGTACCCTGGTACTATCTAATATGCCGGACCGTACCTCGCTTACTCCACTAACGAGTCTATAGGGAGCCGCCTACGCCTACTCCCTAACCCTAACCATATCAGATAGTTACCAGGGTACGTTCCGGTATACCGGACCGTACCCAGGGTACATTCTGGCAGTACCCTGGGGGACATAGACCCTATGAGCTCTAGTAACTATAGCCCGCGTACGGTTGCCGCAGTTTGCCTTTATTTCTCTGCTTGCCCTATTTAGCAGACAACTTCAGCAAATAGCAGGGAAGAAATAGCTCCTGCCCCAGCAGGATCTCCCAACAAGAGGTCTACGAGGCTTACTCCTGCCCCAGCAGGATCTCCCAACAAGAGGTCTACGAGGCTTAATCCTACCCCAGCAGGATCTCCCAACAAGAGGTCTAGGAAGCTTACTCCTACCCCAGCAGGATCTCCCAGCAAGAGGTCTAGGAAGCTTACTCCTACCCCAGCAGGATCTCCCAGCAAGAGGTCTACGAAGCTTACTCCTACCCCAGCAGGATCTCCCAGCAAGAGGTCTACGAAGCTTACTCCTACCCCAACAGGATCTCCCAGCAAGAGGTCT